CCGCTCGCTCACCCCCCACTCGCTCACCCACTCGCTCACCCACCCACTCGCTCACCCACCCACTCACCCACTCACGCGTACGTGTGTCGGGAGATCCTGCGGGTGAGTCTGCTCACCGCTCGCTCACCCACCCACTCGCTCACCCACTCGCTCACCCACCCACTCGCTCACCCACCCACTCACCCACTCACGCGTACGTGTGTCGGGAGATCCTGCGGGTGAGTCTGCTCACCGCTCGCTCACCCACCCACTCGCTCACCCACTCGCTCACCCACCCACTCGCTCACCCACCCACTCACCCACTCACGCGTACGTGTGTCGCGAGATCCTGCGGGTGAGTCCGCTCACCGCTCGCTCACCCACCCACTCGCTCACCCACTCGCTCACCCACCCACTCGCTCACCGCTCGCTCACCCACCTGCTCACTCACCCACTCGCTCACCCACCTGCTCACTCGCTCACCCACTCACCCACCCACTCGCTCACCCACTCGCTCACCCACCCACTCACTCACCCACTCGCTCACCCACTCACCCACCCACTCGCTCACCCACTCGCTCACCCACCCACTCACTCACCCACCCGCTCGCTCACTGACTCTCCCACCCACTCACGCCCCCACTCAACCACCCGCTCGCTCACTCACCCACCCACTCACTCGCCCACTAACTCACGTCCCCACACACCCGCTCACCCACCCGCTCACCCACCCGCTCACCCACCCGCTCACCGCTCGCTCACCACCCGCTCACCCACTCGCTCACCCACCCGCTCACTCACTGACTCTCCCACCCACTCACGCCCCCACTCAACCACCCACTCGCTCACTCACCCACCCACTCACTCGCCCACTAACTCACGTCCCCACACACCCGCTCACCCACCCGCTCACCCCCCCGCTCACCGCTCACCGCTCGCTCACCCACCCGCTCACCCACTCGCTCACCCCACCCGCTCACTCACTGACTCTCCCACCCACTCACGCCCCCACTCAACCACCCACTCGCTCACTCACCCACCCACTCACTCGCCCACTAACTCACGTCCCCACACACCCGCTCACCCACCCGCTCACCCACCCGCTCACCGCTCACCGCTCGCTACTCACCCACCCACCCACCCACTCACTCACGTCCCCACTCACCCACCCACTCACCCACCCACCCACTCGCTCACCCACTCACCCACCCACCCACTCACTCACGCTTCCACTCACTCACCCACCCACTCACCCACCCACCCGTTCACTCACCCGCTCACCCACCCGCTCACTCACCCGCTAACTCACCCACCCACCCACCCACTCACTCACCCACTAACTCACCCACCCGCTCACCCACCCACTCACTCACTAACTCACCCAACCGCCCGTCAACTCGCCCACCCACTCGCTCGCCCACCTTCATAGGTGCTGCTACTCGCTACTATCAGCACTTGCCCCAGCAGTCTGTCGAGGCTACACGGGGGACCTTTGCCTGTGCCTGTGTGTGGTGCTGCTGCAGGGCCTGTCCCACCTGCACCAGCACAAGGTGATCCACCGCGACATCAAGGGCCAGAACGTGCTGCTCACCGAGAACGCCGAGGTCAAGCTGGGTACGTGCAGCGCACACACGTACACGCACACACACACGTACACGCACACACGCACACGTACACGCACACACGTACACGCACACGCACGCGCACACGCACGCGCACGCACACACGCGCACACGTACACGCACACGCACACACACACATGCACACGCGCACACACGCACACGCGCACGCATGCACACGCGCACACCAACACACGCACACACACGCACACACACGCACACACACGCTCACACACACACGCACACGCTCACACACGCACGCACACACACACGCACACGCACGCACACATGCACACACACACGCACACACGCACGCACGCACACACGCATACACGCACACGCTCACACACACACACGTGCACGCACACGCACGCACACATGCACACACGCACGCACACGCACGCATACACGCACGCACACACACATACACGCACGCACACGCACACACACACCAGCACACGTGCACCAATGCACGCACGCACATCCACGCATGCACGCACACACGCACACCAATGCACGCACGCGCATGCACGCACACACACGCACACCAACACACACACGCACACACACGCGCGCGCACACGCACAATAACCCCCTCCCTCCCCCACACTTGGTGACCTTTGCCACCGCTCGGTGAACCCTGCGTGACCTCCCCCCACCCCCACCGCCCGCACTGACCTCGTACGCTCGTGACCGGTGTGCGCTGCGGTGGTGCCGGTGGTGGTGGTGGTGGTGCCGTGGTGGTGGTGCCGTGGTGCCGGTGGTGGTGGTGGTGGTGCCGGTGGTGGTGGTGGTGGTGCAGTGGACTTTGGGGTGAGCGCCCAGCTGGACCGCACCATCGGGCGCCGTAACACGTTCATCGGCACGCCGTACTGGATGGCGCCCGAGGTCATCGCCTGTGACGAGAACCCCGACGCCACATACGACTACCGGGTAACTCGCCAGCACTCGCCAACACTCACCAACACTCACCAACACTCACCACTACACTCACCACTACACTCACCACTACACTCACCACCAACACTCACCACCAACACTCACCACTACACTCACCACTACACTCACCACTACACTCACCACTCATGACTCACCACTACTCACCACTACTCACCACTACTCACCACTACTCACCACTACTCACCACTACTCACCACTACTCACCACTACTCACCACTACTCACCACTACACTCACCACTACACTCACCACTACTCACCACGACTCACCACGACTCACCAACACTCACCAACACCGCCGCTACTCAACAGTCACCACCACTACTCACCGCCACTCACCAACACTCACCAACACTCGCCAACACTCGCCAACACTCACCAACACTCACCAACACTCACCAACACTCACCAACACTCACCAACACTCACCAACACTCACCAACACTCACCAGCACTCACCAGCACTCACCAGCACCGCCACTCACCAACACCGCCACTCGCCAACACTCACCAACACTGCCACTCACCAACACTGCCACTCACCAACACTCACCAACACTGCCGCTACTCACCAACACTCACCAACACTCACCAACACCGCCACTCACCAACACCGCCACTCGCCAACACTCACCAACACTCACCAACACTCACCAACACTCACCAACACCGCCACTCACCAACACTCACCAACACTCACCAACACCGCCACTCACCAACACTCACCAACACTCACCAACACTCACCAACACTCACCAACACCGCCACTCACCGCCACTCACCAACACTCACCAACACTCACCAACACTCACCAACACTCACCAACACCGCCACTCACCAACACTCACCAACACTCACCAACACTCACCAACACCGCCACTCGCCAACACTCACCAACACTCACCAACACTCACCAACACTCACCAACACCGCCACTCACCAACACTCACCAACACTGCCGCTACTCACCAACACTCACCAACACCGCCACTCACCAACACTCACCACCACTCACCAACACTGCTACTCACCAACACTCACCACCACTCACCAACACCGCCACTCACCAACACCGCTACTCACCCAGTCAAACTAACAAGTTCTGTCTCCGTCTCTCTGTGTCTCCGTGTCTCTGTGTCTCTGTGTCTCTGTGTCTCTGTGTCTCTGTGTCTCTGTGTCTCTGTGTCTCCCTGTCTCCCTGTCTCTGTCTCCGTGTCTCCGTGTCTCCGTGTCTCCCTGTCCCTGTCTCCGTGTCTCTGTCTCCGTGTCTCCGTGTCTCCCTGTCCCTGTCTCCGTGTCTCTCCGTGTCTCCGTGTCTCCCCAACAGAGTGACCTCTGGTCTCTGGGAATCACAGCGATTGAGATGGCCGAAGGCGCTCCCCGTAAGTATGGTGGTGACGGTGGTGGTGGTGGTGGTGACGGTCGTGGTGGTGATGGTGACGGTGGTGACGGTGGTGACGGTGGTGACGGTGGTGACGGTGGTGGTGGTGGTGGTGACGGTGGTGGTGGTGGTGGTGACGGTCGTGGTGGTGATGGTGACGGTGGTGACGGTGGTGGCGGTGGTGACGGTGGTGTTGGTGGTGGTGATGGTGGTGACGGTGGTGGTGGTGGTGGTGGTGGTGGTGATGGTGGTGGTGGTGGTGACGGTGGTGGTCGTGGTGGTGGTGGTCGTGGCGGTGGTGGCTATGATAGTGGTGGTGGGGGCGGTGGTGTTGGCGGTGGTGACGGTAATAGTGGCGGTGGTGGCGATGGTAGCTGAGGTGGTGGCGATGGTGGCGGTGATGATGGTGGTGGTGGTGATCACGTTGCTGCTGTTGACGCTGTCTTGATGATGATACTGTTGATGGTGATGCTATTGTTGTTGATGATGATGCTTTTCATGATGATGATGCTGTTGTTGTTGTTGTTGATGTTGTTGTTGTTGCAGCGCTGTGTGATATGCACCCAATGAGGGCTCTCTTCCTCATCCCTCGCAACCCCCCGCCTCGCCTCAAGTCAAAGAAATGGTAACGCACACACACAGACACACACACTCACACACACACAGACACACACACACATACTCACACACAGACACACACACACACAGACTCACAGACACACAGACTCACACACAGACTCACACACTCACAGACACACACACAGACACACACAGACTCACACACACAGATTCACACACACACACTCACACACACTCACACACACAGATTCACACACACACAGACACACACAGACTCACACACACAGACTCACACACACACTCACACACACGCAGAGACTCACACACTCACACTCACACATACACACAGAGACTCACACAGAGACTCTCACACACACACAGACTCACACACACACAGACACACACAGACACTCACACACACACACAGACTCGCACACACACAGATTCACACACACACACTCACACACACTCACACACACAGATT